GGTGAGGAGCTCTGCTTCCCCACAGCCCTTGGGTTCTAGGTTCGATTCTGGCCTGAGACCTTGTGTGTAAAGTCTGCGTGTGCCCCCTGTGCCCACACTGCTGCGTGGGAATCCATCCTGGTGCCCTGGACTTGCAGGACTATGACACCCTCCCAGGAATAAGCGATTCTCCATAACTGGTAGATGGTTAAGAAGCACAACCGTAAGTCAACATGGACATTAAAACCTTTCAAAAGGTTGTAATACATATTCCACCGACAGTTCCCATTGAACACATGGTGTTTACCTTGCCTCGTGAGGCAGGATACAAGATCTTTTACGTCAAGGCAAATTGTCATTCAGCAAACAAATGAGTCGGTAGGGACAATATCTGGCTGTTCCTCACACACATTAGCGCAGCTCCTCCATCCGGAAAAACTTAACAGGTCCTTCATAGAAGCAAAATGAGCAATATTTTCATTTTAATGTTTTAAGAGTTCATACAATGCCCCTCCAGAGAGCTGGCATAAACAATGCGAGGCACATTTCACACCTGGCCCAACAGGGATGGGAACACCATCTCATGCCGAGAGATTCCTGGAGCTTGTTAAGAGCCTAGACCACAGCTTTAACTACTAGCAGGGCTGGTTTGAATGTTTCATAAACTGTCACCCTTGTAGTTTTTAATGTGTAACATTGAGTCGGTTTAGATGACAACGCACTGCTACTCCTGTTCAGCTGTATTGTTACATATTTTCATAATGATTAAATACTTTATCGATCCCGTGAAGAAATTGTACTACTAGTCTAAATCTTTCCTGACACAACGAGATCGACATGCTCACAACAAAACATCATAGTACACCCCCAAGCACAAAATCTGCTTGGTTAAAGCAAGAAAATGTCAGAGATCAAGATCTCTTTTTCAAGATCAGGGTCAAACTGTACTATGGCACTGTAATCCAGAGCAAAGGTGCACAAAGCCAGTCTTGGGAGGACTGTGGAGCTGCTGGTCTTTTGGATCTTTATACAGTACCTCCTGTGCCTACAGAATGGGAGAAAGGAGCTGAACTGGCCCAGTTGATGCAATAATTAGATCACACATAAACAAATAAGGGAGTTGAGAGCTTGGGCACAATGAAAGCCCGCAGACACCCATGGCAGGAGTTTGGGTACCCTGATATACAAGAAAAAAAATAAGAACATAGGAATGGTTACACATGAGGCGAGGCAATTTGGCCCATATAGCATGTTTAGTAGTTAGTAGCCCATGGATCCAAGGATCTCACCCAGTTGTTTTTTTGAGGGAAAGACAGGGTATTGGCTTCAACAATATGACTGGGTAGCTTGTTCCAGACTTCCACCACCTTTAGGGTTGAAGACCAATACAAAGATCATTGCTTTATTGTTGCAGTGGCTTTCTCTGTGCTTGAAACCAGTTCTGCCGCAGGTGGCATGTGTGCAAATTCTTCCTCTGGGCCTCTGCCCTACGGTTCACATTCCAGTGCAGTGCTGTGACCTCTAGCCTCTTGACTTTGTGCATTCCAAAACTGCAGGAAGACTGCGTAAACCATCGGGGGTAGCTTGCAGAGGTTTAATTTGTGGGTATACAGGAGGAGCTGGAGACTGTTACTCTGGAAAGGGAACTCTGGTCTGCCCCGCTAAGCCTGTTACCACCACAACCCTCACCAGGAATTAGTGGTTAGAAAATTATAATTATTATACCAGCAGAAAGAGGAAAAAGCTTCCAATATAAAAAGCATGGAAGGGAGGATAAGAGAGTTTCTCAGTTTCTAAAACAAAAAAGAAATTGCTTGCATGCCTTCTATTTTCGCAGGTTTGATTTTAAAGGTACTCCCCTGCCCTTATCAGTTAAGGTGGTGCTTTATCCACATTTACAGTACTACAAACTGCTCTGGTAAAACAAAAGGTTCATTAACAGTGCCTTTCCTTTCTGATCAGGGTCAAATGCATTAGCTATGTTTAAAACTGCTCCTGGGCAGGTGTCAATCATCTTTGTCTTTGTTGCAGTTTAAATGCTCTCAGGACCACCTGCAGCGTACTGATAGCTATCATTTTATCTGTGGCCAAATAAGCATTCCAGATTGACCTAGAAGACAGTCGCACGGGATTCTGAGTTCAGTGTCAACTGTGGAAGCAAAGGTCCTAAGAATGATCAGCCTCGAGCAGCCTGTAAATGCAACACCATCAATCAGGTCCAGAGAGTTCTAAAAATATTAGGATAAATACATTTTATAAACTTTTGACAGTAAAAGAAACAAGTGACTTTTGATTAAGTTTTTTTCTCATCAGCTTATCCCTTGTTCAAAACTAACCAAGAAAGAAATTAAATGTTAGAAGCATTCTTGCAAAACATCTTGTGACAACTTGTTTTAATTCTGAACATTCTGTAATGCCAGTGGCCTGTTACTACTAAAGCAACAATGTTCTGTTACTATTTACACATCTTGAGAAACAGTACTGCTTGTGATAGTGGGTGAGATCCCTTGAGTCTGAAAGCTGCCAGTGACGTCCCTCCCTTTTCATTCTTTTTTCTTGCTCAGAAAACATGCCCTGTGGTGTTCCTCCTGCAAAGAGAGTTTTTGAGACTATGCCTTTCATCGAAACTTCCTTTAGCAGCCATTGCCGTGACACACAAGAGACGTAAAAAGGGAAATAAAAACACAACGACTACACACCTGAGGTGAGGGAAATGCCCGACCTGTTATCTATGCATTCCAGCCCCGATTCTGGACAAGAAGACAAGCTTGTGCTTCTCTCCTGGTAGTAAAACTCATCTGCATGGAATGTCGATGAGAGAGGTGCAGATTCAGTCAACACTGAGCACAAAATATCTGAAGACACATCGCTGTGCCAAAACACATGTGGAGCTGGAAAACCACAACAATCGCCTCTTAATAATTAAAAAGATATGCAAGGCTCAGGGGAGGAACTGACAAGGCTTTCTGCATCAGCACTTAAGCTGTCGGGCGCTGTTGTGGGAAAAAGAGAGAGACGCCAGAGCGAGTGCAAGATGAGGCTAACCCATTATTCAGTGCATCGCTCTTTCACTTCCAATCGCGCGCTCTGTGGAGATCAGAGGCTTTCAAGCTGTGAGGGCTGTCTCCCTGTCTCGCCAAAGTGCCAGCCGAGACCCCAGGTATTGCGATTTTTATTGGGTAAAAAAGGTTTGCCAGATTCCAAAAAACAGGTGTTGAACAAGGCAGCACAACAAATGTAACTTTAAAACTTTCTCACAGCAAGACATAAATGTTCTTTATTGTCCAAACATAGCATCAGAAATCCTGACAGTGTCAAAGGATGACATTAAAATAGTAAACATTTTTTTTATTTGTTCCTTTTTCTCTTAAAATTGCAGTTCATGTTATTTGGGTAATCATTGTTGTGCAGCTTCACCATCTTCATTGGGTTAAAGGTAGGAAACAAGGTGAACTCTTTTTAGTTTTTAGTTTTTTAACACTCTTTAGTACTGAATTTTTAGTTGCACTAAATAATTAATGTGTTGTTATATTATCAGCTTTTTTCACCTGAAAACAGAAGTCATGACTTGAGCTCTCTGCAGCATATTTCCAGTTGTGCAGACATGCAGCATGAAGGAAGGAGAACTAAGGGTCTGAGTGTCTTCAGTGTCCCTGGCACTGCAATAACATCTCCAAGGAGGATTCCACACTGGACATACTGTGTCCAGTACTAACCTCCTACTCTCTCCTTCTCCTCCTTTCTAGAGGTCATATGAAATGCTTATTGATGCATTGTGAATGTTGCTGTAAATAATAACCATGAGCTTAAGTCAACTGCCTCTGCTGACTGCACTCCAAAAATGTGAAAATCAATGATGTACAACACATAAAACAAACACTTTTTGACCTGCTTCTCATATAATTTGTTAATCTCTTGCTGATTAGCATTTTTCAGCTTACATCTACGTAACAGTTTAAATACTGCTCAATTACACTATCAGTTGTAGGAGCCCAGATTGCTCTGCATAACTTCAAAAATGAAAACCCCTTCAGAAAACTGTATAATTTTCAAGATATTCAAAATCATTTTCGGCTTTTCTACTGTAAACACTAAAAAACATGTTTATAAGCAGATTTTCAATGTTTGAGTCCTTTCTGATCTGATAGTTTTATAACTAAATATCTGTTCTGAGAAATAAATGTCATCAGCAACATTGCCAAGTATTAAAAGTCAAGCATTGAACAACAGAGAACAATTCCAGCAAAAGCAAAGTTTGAATACAGATGTTCATACAAAATTGGCTTTCATACATGTTTCATAGGTTAAGAACATGGTCTCATCTAGGCTGGATATAAACAGCATATAAGGTGCCTTCTGTCAGGCTCATAAAAGCCACTTTCTTAATACAACAGTGCATTGATGTATCAGCATTCTAGCAGTCATTTCAGAAGGAGAGGAAGCTGAGTATGGCTGTCAGTTAATGAAAAGAAAAATCAAAGATGTTTTGTCTTTCAGGATAGTTACCTTTTGTTTTAAAATTGAAAGATGCTGCTCTTTACAAAAGTTCTTTTTTAAATATAAATACTTCTGTTATATACATTTTTACAAATTCCACTTGCGCTGGCACATACTGTTTTAAAAATCTATCAGTGACACATTGTTAACTTAGGAAACATTCTGGAGGCTAAAGTTTTAGTTACTGATTTACAAAAACTATGGTTACTACAATTATTTACCACTATCAGTAAAAGTGTTCAGAGGACATTTATCTGTTCTCTACTCTAAACAAATATAAAGTTACCCTCTTCATAAAAAATAAACATTTATACGAAAAAGACATCAAATCGCTTATAAAATAGTAAAACATGACAGTCTTACACCGAACATAGCCTATATCAGCAGAAAAAATAAAATAAAGTCTGATGGTTGTTTTTTGGAGTCTGCAAAGTTAAATCTAAAAGTCAGCTGAGAGATCACAGCTCGAAGAGCACCAACGCAACAGAGCCACTGCAGAGAGTTAAGGAATGCAATTTACTTACCTGGGTGAAACTTTAACACGTTGCGAGGTTCTTTGCTAAGAGCAGGCTGTCCAAACAGCGTCCTTGTGTCGGGATTTAAAGAACCTCAGACGAATGAGTGATCTATATGTTAGTGTGACCCAGGTATGGGATAAATCCCAGGCTTGGGCTGTGGAGTAAAAGCAGCAGTTTCCCTTGTTTGCCCCTCCTCATAGTCCACTGGCTCCTGCCAGAATGCAGTATTCCTGTGCTCCTTCCCGGTGGCAGAAAGCAGCTGGGAATGCACACCTCCAATTCTTACAATCTCTCTACCACTGTGGCCCCGCCCTGCACACCACAACGACAGACTGTGCCTCCTCCTCCTCTGCAGGTAGGAGGAGGACCTTTCCCAGCCTCAGAGGAGATTAGGAATTGGAAGTGGGACAAGGTCTGAATTCCTGCCTCACATCTGGTGCAGAAAGACACGTGAAGTTGCGCTGCCTGTCGGGAACAGGGGCCCTGTTGGATCTGCAGCCCAAGAGCAGGCTGTCCTAACACAGGTGCAGCTGATTATGCAAACATAGAGACATTCACTTCCTGGTGAGGTCATCCTCTTCCTCCTTGCTGCTGTCCTGGTATGGCAGGAGATTAAAAGGGTGGTGCGTGTGTTTGCTGTTGCCATGGTGTGTTGTTTAGGGAAGTATTTACTGCCCTCAAGGAGTTGACCTTTCAGGTTCTGCTGCCTCTATGAATGTAGCTGTCTGGCCACACAAGGAATGCAACATCCCAGAACCGAAAAACCTGGTGGACAAGATTATGATGAAGCAGCTCATTCCTTTAGAGCTACAGATTTTTCAGCTTTTAGATATTCTATTTTTCCATTGTTACGATATTAATGATATTGACCCAAATTTATTTAAACAAAATGCTTTGAGTCCTTGCTGCTCACAGGTGAGACAGCTTCTCAAGCAGAAACAGCTTTGGAAGATTACAGATTGTAATGTGTTTTAAAAGTAGAACCCTTCGATTTTGGAAGTTAAGAATGTCAAAAGTTATGCTGTTCAAGACAAACACAGCCGTGTTTTTTGTCCATAAATTAAAATACTTTGTTAAAAAATAAAAACATTATCCTTGTGTGGATATTTATCACACAGCTATAATACCATATGTTATCTATAATTGTATTTACAATAAAAAACAATAATAATATACGTAAAGGTTTGCAGTTCTTTGACACTTCACATGGTATTTTCTTTTCAGCCATATTGTTGAAGCTGAAGCTCTTCTGGTTCATTCAAGAAAAGGCTGGATGAGAGTTTCACATGAATTAGATGGGCGAATGATTTATTTTCATTTCTAAGCCATCTTGAATGAGCACTGGACTCACCAGCCCAGAACTTTGATTGTCAAATTAATCACCTTAAACTTTTTAAAAGAACCTTAGGTGTCACAGCCACCTATATTCACTGTCTATAATGAATAACAAAGGGAAAAAACATTTTCTTGCAAACATGTACACATTTAAAATCAGATTTACCTGGCTGACTCACTGCCTACGTCAAATTTACTCAAAACCACCATTTTAAGTGGTCTTAACGCATTATATATTATTGCTGTGCAATCCCTTAATTCCATAATATCATGAGTAATTAATGTTATAATATCATTAATGATAATAATTTCAAGTACTTTAACTTAATCGTTACATTTTAACACAAACATTTTGTTAGGATCCACCTACTACGAGTTCTCAGTTACTTTATGCCAACCACTGGATAACAGAGATTGTACTTTCAAACCACACTTGGTGTGAAACCTACAGACCAGTTTGGCTTAAGGAACAAACACCAGTGCTGGAAAAGTCCCGGAGTTTAATGAATTACTCATTTTATGGTCAAAAGGAGAAACTGGTTAATTCAATCACAGCTTGTTTTGTAAATTTAAAAGAAGTTAAGCATAATAAATTATTTCCCCGAGAATCAACACACAAGACATCAGTGAAAAAAGAGCTTTCAAGTGTAGAGAGGTGTCAACGCATGACATGCAAGCTTGGGAGCTCCTGACAACCTGTAGGCCCAAGAATAAACGACACCAAGCGCTGCCTCCTCCTGCAGTGGATATGCAACACAGCAGCTGGTGGGCTGGGTTCTGCCATGGTGTGGACTGAGGAAGGCTTGCAGGCAGAAATCCAGCAATGTTTATCAAGGGCTCGGCCCTCTTGCTTTAAATCTCAAAAGACCCTCCCTCGACTCCTCGCTAGCTCTCCTCAGGGCTCCTCCCCCCACCCCACCCCCAGAGGTAACTTACCCCAGCAGCCGGAGCCCCCCTCCCCACAAGGGTTGAAAAAAGGCAAGTAGAGAAATGCAACGAGCTGCGCGAGAACATCCTGATCCGAGGCTCAGCGCAAATCAGCATGTTCCTGCAGAAAAATCCAGCTCAACCACCATAAGGTCAGATAACAGCTAAATGACTAATCACATTTATAACTTTTCAAGCAATGCTGCAAATACTAATCCTGAAGTGATAAGTCCCAGTTTAAGATAAAAAACATCTGTGACAGCCACAATACGCTTGTGAATCAAGAGCCTTTGAGTATGTTTATCACATACACAGGCAGATTTACAACAACCTACAGTATGCCTGAGATCTTAAGGTATTTTTTTTCATACCAAGCCATTTTTATATCACAAAGAACCACTGTTCTATTTCTTTTCTAGTTTCTAAGATTTCCTTTGTAAAACAAGCAATGATTTCTTATGAAGCATTTGCTTAATATTATCAAATAAACGTAGAGAACTGTGATTTGAATAGTACAACTCCCTGTAAAAATGTATGGAAATGGGTGATTTTGTGGGTTTTGTGACCCTCAGGAATGTGGAGGGCGGAAGTGTGTGTGCCTGTGTTTGTGTCCATCTGCCCTGCAATAGACTGACATCCTGTCAAGGGTGTATCATCATTCCTTGCCAGGATAGGCTCTGGCTCCCCCATGACCCTGAACTGGGAAAACTGGTTACAAAATGAATGGATGGAACGGTTACATTTCTTCTGTAAAACATTATATACTTTATTCAAATGTATACTTCATAAGGCAGCTAAATGAAAACATGTCCAAATGAACAAAGATCATAATTAAATATAATTCGCATGTCGAGTGAGGTTTTAAATTTCCGATGTGGTACAGTAATCACGCGTTAAGGCAGATTCTCCAGACCAACAAAGCAATCCGAGTATCAAGGTGTTACAGTAAGGGCTGGCTGTACACGAAGCCTGCTAACGGTCTTTAAATCTTTCTCCTCCTTTGCTTTAACACTCAGCCTGAAAAGTGCAATCTAGAGTCCACGTCATTTGTTTTTTTTCACCAACACTGAAATACAAAAAGTGCTTTGTGTATTTACTATATATTAGCTCGCTTGGAATTTAACTTTACTGAATTTTGTTTAGATATGCTTTAACTGTTTGTCAACAGCCAGTCAATAAGTAATCTAATCAGCACAACTACTACAATGTAGTAAATAATGCATGACAGTAAACAACTACCATGACAGGTTGCACTGGTGAAATCACATTCTTACAGATACTGTAGGTGTTGTTTATAGTAGAAACTCATTTGGTTTCCCACAGCAATGACATAGCTGCTGTCATGTTTGATTTACTTGACCTCTTACTAAGGGGTCAAAATGTCATCCCACCTAGTACAGGAAGTCAAGGCTGCCCTTAATTCTGATACCTGCCTCCTTTCAATTACCCCCACCAGATAAGACAGGCAGCCTTCAGAATCACTGGAGGAGTGATAAAAAGTTAAAGTGATATAAACAATACTACATTTCTCTTAAACAGGTCATTGTTTAGAACAATTAGGTGGACAGAAAGCAGAGACTTGGAACGCACAAGATCTTAACAACGAAGTGGCAGCTACTAGTTCCCTGCATGTTTACATCCATGTTTCACTGCAGATCTGGTATCATGAAGATCTTACCTAACTGCATCACAATCACATTGGGGCATTATTTTGAAACAGATCTTATAGGAGTGAAAGTCTTTCTTTGAACATTCCCCAAACTCATGAAACGGAACATTTTTTAAGACAAAGGTCACAATGATGAGAGATTCTACATCAATCCAACACGCTCCTTTCTTGCTCAATAATTTGAGTTATTAAAAGTGCTGCAGAAAAGAGCCTTGCAGCTAATACTGAGGCTGACTGCCAGTGTGAAAGCCACAGGGCACAGTCCTGCGGTGCACAATCAGGTGTTTGCCACTCCCAGAAGGCGTGAAGGGGCATGGTGGCAGTCAGGAGCTCGGCGAGGAAGGAGCTGGATCAGAGCCCAGGAGAGCTCTGTGGAATGTAACATTTACTTGGAATAACCCAAGAATGCTCAAAGGTTTCCTCAGAATTTTCAAGTAATTTTGTGATCCCTTTGTCATTGTAGCTTAAAAAGTACCTGGAATAAAGCTTGCTCACTAATGGATGGATTTAATGTACTGAGCTGTAGAATCAGCCATGTAATTTTGAAAAGGAACAAGTAATAGGTTTATTCCATGCTGAAAAGAGAAGAGAGAAAACACAACGTTTCGGCTGTGAAGCCTTCTGCAGGTGTGACAATTTAATTTTGAAGTTTATTTAGCAGATTGTCATGCTTCATAAAGCAAAGACAGAAACCTTTATGCACTTTAAGCACCCTTAGACTGCATGATGCTCACAAAGCTTGTTGGAGCACATACCACTTGGTTACGTGGTTTTGCTACCATCAGGATTCAGCTATGTTGCCTTTAGTCATATGCAACTTAGCAGAAATAGGCCTCACCTCTCAGTAAGGAGAACATGCATACTCTTATTTAAACAAACATATACAAATTTTGCTGTTCTGTGTTGTTCTCTTAAGCATCTCCAAAGTATATCAATTAAAGGGAAATTAAATTTCAAACAAAGAGGTTTAAGTTATATACAGTACAGAACAAGGGACTGTTCCTCCTTTAGGTCAGGAAATTCACTTGCACCTGTAAAGCACCACTATCGCTGTCTCTTGTCAGATACACACAGACCTTTGAACATTTCCTTCTTCCCTCTGGAAATAAGGGGTGTTTGACATTCATATTTACACTCATCCCAAGGCTCTGATCAGGACATTTTGTCCTTTTTAGTTCCGTAAACTAGAGTCTGAGAATCAGTAGTGCAGCTTCTTTCATGTCAAACAGCATCTTAATGTTTTCGGTCAAGACAAATTACTTATTTGGCATATCTCATGGCTTGTCCAATTTTATGTTTTATGCTAGATTTCAATATGTCTTAGTTTCAAGCAAATCTCTAGCTCACCGAAAACAAACCCATGCTGATCACTCTGGCCTCCTTCACCACAGAGCACTCCTCTTAACTTAAAGAACTACAAATACACTGTACAGGACAGTAATAATGGCCCACATGAATAAACCAAGACAAGGCTGTGGGTTTCTTTTAGTGTCATTCAAGTCACCATTACCATATGCCCCACTATTAATGTGTTGTATGTGCAATGCATATGTAAATATATAACTCTGTTATGATGATAGTACTGTAAGAGGTTAATTCTATGGGTAATTCATAGAAAAGTGAACAGGCAATGTCCGCAGGGTATGTTTTGCTCCCTACTACTACTACTTGCAGGATTGCCCAAGTGTGGATAAAATTGTTCTATTAATTTGAAAACATTTACTTTTTATATGGAACATATGGAGTTGTTAAGTGCAACGATAAAGTTCAGCTTCAAACAGCATTTCTTCTCTCTTCAGGTTTTAAAGTTCCTGATATTAGTTCATGCATCGAACATTTTCTTAACTGAATTCAAGCTTCAAAAGTACTAGATCATTTATCTGATGACTCAAAATAAAATCTGATATTTTGAACAAACGCAGCAGATTCTTTCCTGGGCTTTTCAGTGGCTCAACCAGTACAGATGCTTAGCGAGAGTGCGAAGCTAAGCGCTACACTGTACATATCACCAGTTTGAGCCTGGGTTATATTATATTAACTCAGTAACTAATTGATTGTCTGGATTTCTCTTGATTGTCTTTCAGTATTATTAGCAATACATGCCTCTGATCCTCTGTTCGAATTCTCAGTTATAGCAGTAAGACTCCAAGTTGGAAAAAGACAGATGGGTTAATGATCGTGATAGCACACATTTGAGGTAACGTGCTGTCTTTTCAATGAGGTTACTGATGACACGGTATTAAAGCTGAATGCCCACAGCAGACTGAGGAAGTATAACTATGATAAATTTCAAAATGCTGCAAGTAAAAACCTGCAAGTTCCAATATAGTATTTGCATATTCGTTCAAATTAGTGACATATTGCTTACACTTGCCAATTTCCAATGCAATATCCTGATTGTAATATGCAGTGCATGAGAAGAAGTAGAGCTTAATTCTACACTGAAAACTAAAAAGGAAAATGCAAAAAAAAACATTTCAATAGGGGTTTAAATTTTAAAAAGGCTTCACAGTGGAAATGTTGTGTTCTTTGTGGTTTTGAGTAAAATCCATTCCTCTACCACTTGCATGCCGATATGTGCATAATAATCTTTAGCTTTGCTATTCACCTGTTGAAATCATTTTTTTTATATCCTGGTTATCCAAAAGTGTGTGGCTGAAGTACAGCTTCAGAGCAAGAGGATATATACTATACTGTACACATATCATACTGTACATATCATAATGTACAGAAATTGACACTGCATCCAAGAAACAGCAACTTCCAGCACAAAACACAAAGGCTCATGCCACGTTATGCTAAATGGAGCTCATGTAAGCAAATATGACACATCTAATAACAATAAGAGGTTGTAGAAAAAGACTACATAAAATGGAGATTTAATTTTCCCCAGAATGCACAAATTCATGAAGGACTCGTGGATGACAAAAAGATGAAATCATTAAGTTCTCAGAAGCAACATGAACACCAATGAGCCAATGACAGGAATTAGTGGAAAAACCACAAGGAGACTAGCTGTGGACGAGAACAAGCTGGTGATGCACATAGCCTTGCTATGCTGTCCCGAATATTACTTAAAACTTGCCTGAAAAACATAACAAAATATATTTTTCAATGCTATGAAAATATATTTTGTGGTTTTGTTTAAAAAGCTGCATTGTACTTCAGTGTTTACAAATGACTATTCTGACAGAGCATACAGTAGTCTAAACTTTTCAACACTGGTCTATATATAACTCCACTCTCTCAAAATATTGACAGGATTGACTTATCCCTATACTTTAACTAAGCTTTCCTTTGTAAGTCAGGAATATAAACTGCACTGTTTTGTAATTGGTTAATTAAGGGTTTTAACTCCAAATTTAATAACTCCACAACAAAAACACAAAGTGATCTTCTGTCAGCTCAAAATTGATTAGCTAAATGACTGTTATTAGTATGCGTTGCTGAACACATCCCTCAAATTTCAAATGTCTGAAGGCT